AGAGCCTTGCGTTCGATGACCTCCATTATGAGGTTTGCCATTGTCACAGATATGGCTTCCCCCATGGCTGTGCCGCTGGTTTGCTTGTAGTACTTCTCGCTAAATAAGAAGTATGTGCTGTTCAGGCAGAGCTCTTGTAGTCGACAAATCTCGTCAACCAATAGGCACGTTCTCTCCGGAAGTTTATCGTCTGCCGAGAGAGAACTTCTTGCAACAGATACCGGCAATATCACTGGGATGCTGGTGAACAAAGACACCACGTCAAAAGAGACGAGGCTCTCGTCGTCACATAGCTCTAAATCGGAAACAAGATCTATGAAATGACTAGAATTCTGCACGTACGTTGGAGTCTTTCCGGTGAGGGGTGAGAGAAACCTGTGGAGATATAGTTGGAGACGGCGCGCAAAGGTGACGTTGTGAAGTCCGCAATAGGTCGAAGTGGAACACCGGCCTTGTGTATTTTGGGGAGACCGTACAACGCCGGGATGGATCAGTTCCTGCAGATTAGCAAGTCAGGGTATTATTGGAAGATGATTGCCAGTGTTTTGTTGAGCGTTTCTTTGACTTTTCTCTTGGGATCTCTTGCCAAGGAAGTGTAGGCACTGCTGCCAAGGAGCTCAAGCAGCTTTTGTGGCCGTACGTCTCGCTGTCCATGACGAGGGTGGCGTTCCCCTTGTCTGCCCGAAACACTACGATGTTTTTGTCTTCCTTGAGGCGGCGCAAGGCCTGGTTTTCTTCTGCCGAAATATTGAGAGGTTTCCGCTGTACAGCCTGAGATATAACGCCGATTGCTTTTAATCGAGCCTTTTTGCGAGTAGACAGGTCCTACCCACGAAGACCGTCTTCGATGGACGCAACCATAGCGGGGAAGCGGAGCTTGCGAGTGGCTTAGTTAAAACGCCGGCCTCTTGCCAGTACTGATGTCTCTGAAGGGGAGAGCTCTCTCGATGAAAAATTGCACACGAACCTTGTGACGACTCCGCGGTGGCTGGAAGCTGAGTTGTCCTGCTGAAGTGCAGCCAGCTTTTTTGCATGTACCTGTTCTTTGGTCCGAGAGCACGTGGAAGCGGTGCCCCTGGTCAAAGCATCCAGGGCCTGGAACACCTCAGGTACTCGACGTTCCAGCTGTCGTCACATGAAGAAGAGTTCTACGTCTTTCCTTTTGATGGCGCTGTGGCATTCGTGGATCCGGGCACACAAAGGACTGCGTTCTGCCTGGTCGCTGACGCTATGTCCCTTAGTGGTGTGGACAAAACGCTTGAGGCCGAGGCTCTTGGGCACAAAGCCGAGGTCTTTGCACTTTTTGTTGAACGTAAGATGAGACTTGAAGGTGGTGATGGTTAACGAGATCTGCCGACTAGTTGAGCTCTGCTTGAGCAGCACAAACTTCTCATTTAGCGGGAAGTACTACAAGCAAACCAGCGGCACAGCCATGGGGGAAGCCATATCTGTGACAATGGCAAACCCCACAATGGAGGCCATCGAACGCAAGGCTCTCGACACTTTCGAGCCTAAACCCAGAATGTTCCTGCGTTACGTGGACGACTGTTACTGCGTCGTTAAAGCCAGTGAGGTGGATCGTCTTTTAAAGCACCTGAACTCGGTGGATGAGTCGCTACAATTCACGGTCGAACGCGAAGACAAAGGTTCCCTTGCCTTTCTGGATGTACTGGTAACCAGGAGTGGCAGTGGGCTAAGCTTCTTTGTTCACAGGAAGCCAACCCATACTGGCAGATACTTGGGGTTTGATTCCCAGCATCCCCTATGTCATAAAGCGTCGGTGGCCTCTGCACTCTTCAGGCGCGCCTTCGCCACCTGCTCCACAAAGAAGGGCCTCCAGGAAGAAATCAAAGTCGTAACATCGGATCTCCGCAAGAACGGCTACCCTAAACGGTTTATTCGCCGGATACTCGCGAAATCAAGGCATCCACCCCTACGGCGCAGCAGTGACTTATAAGCCCGGGTCGACAATCGGTCATCGCCTCCCCCTCCCGAAGGTTCAGCCCCCCAAAGAAAGGGCCTAAGGCTTGGTCTACCGCATACCATGCAAAGATTGCCCGGTCTCATACGTTGGCGAAAGCAAAAACTTCGCAGAGAGGCTCACGCGACACAAGTATGATGTCCGGAAGAAGGATGTGGAGGCAAGCGCCCTCGCGGAGCACGCAGATGCAGCCGGCCACACAGTCGACTTCGAGGAGAGCACCGTGCTGGCCTTGGAGAGGAATCGGCGAAAGCGGCTCTTTGTTGAGTCTTAGTTTATCCAACATACAAAGGGAACGTGAATCGTTCTTCGGGCTCCCTGCCCAGGAGCTACGTCTCGGGACTGCGTGACGTGAGCAAAGCCCCCTACCTCCGTATGGGCATTTAAGCGACGCGTGTTCTTTTCTTTACGTCATTCACCCGTGAATAAGGGACCGAACTGGTCCCGAAACGTCGGGTAAATGTTTATTAAATCTTTGATTAGAGTCTCTATTTTTCGGTTCAGTGTACTATGAAGTTTGGAGTTGTACTTTCCTGGGAAAAAATACTTTAGTTGTGTAAGAGTGTATGCTCAGAGAATGTACTTCAAATGAAGTATAAGTTTTCTAAACATGTTTGAAGTTCTACTTTAGGTACCACGAACTTAGAGTATGTTCCAAAAACTGCGTGTTTATTATATTTTTATGTAAAAACACGTTGGGGGGAATTAGTAAGATTTCTCAGACTATATCGAATTTCGGAAGACCTCTCTATTCTGAGCTTTGAGAGGAAAGGCAACGCGAAGAGGTCACTTTTGCGTTGCGCAGCGGGTGCTGCATTTTGTTGCCTCTTTTGAGTGAGGATACAGTTGGTACAAATCCTGTAGTGGGCGAGAGTGAATACATTGGGGAGAAGCGGGGACAAGCGCCTTCTTCAAATGAGTCAAGTCTCCGTGTGCTTCGGGACAAAAAGACACGCCAGTCTTTGGCGCTAATCACGCAGTTACTCGGCTTCACATGCGGCGTGTTTGTCCGCTCTCCGCGCCTCGTAGCAGGGTCATTGCAGTGGGGAGCTCGTGAAAACTTGAGTGGGTTTCGAACACTCCCAACCTCCCCCCCCCCCCCCCCCCGTTTTTCTGCCTACGCCACATGCTTCCCTTTCTTTGCAAATATCAGCTGATCTCCCAACATCTTATTCCTTTTTGTGCAGGGATGTTTGTCGATAAGCAGACCTACCACTAAATTTGTAATATAGTTTGTAATTGGAGTAGAAGTTACTCGGAAAAAGTAAACAAAGGGAACTACTAATTACAAAAATGAAAATGTTAACTGAAAGTTACTCTACTACTAAGAAAAATAGTTAAACTCCAGTAAATTGAGTAGAGTGATTGAACTACTTACGTATTATGCTAAATGCACGCTTCTAACTTCCCTCACTGCTGCAATCATGTACCAAGTTAGATAAGGACTTCCTGGACTTACAATACAGCATAATGTGCATCTTCCCAAAAGGTGAGCATTAATAATGCCTACTTTAACAAGTAAGTCCTGTTTTCATTACTTCATGGCCAGACAAAACTATTTCCCTAGAACGTCTACAACATTGGTGGTATCGGTACAGTCCCCGTAGTCCTGGTGGAAACCGGTGTTCTTAAACACGGTCACCCCTGCTCCGGTCAATGTTACAACTGAAGTAAAGTCTGTTTAAATGCACCATGAGGAAAATTTGAGTGAGGCTCTTCCTGAGGACAATATGGGCTTCAATGTCAAATACGTACCTGTCCTTTCGAAGCGCGACCTCAATTACATGCTCCAATGCTCGCAAAAACAAAAATATATTTTTATTTGCATTTTTATTTCGGCTTTCATTTAGAAGAATGCGATCAAAGACACGTCTATGGGAGCGGCTTAGGTGCAGTCACTGATATCTTAAAAATAAATCGGTGAAGCGAGCCGTCTTATTTACACAAACCAAGAAGCGTGACCATAATAGGCCATACCCTACGCTTGAGAATGGGGTGACTCTAGTGAGTGAAAAATGTGGAGGAAGGAAATATTGAGGCAGCTTTTTGAAAGCGCCGAAACATCTGAGCCAACAACAACACACGGCTTTTCATTATATTTGACGCGCCATGTTTAAAAAAAAAAATCCAATGCGATTGCTACACTGGAGGTAAAGTGTTAAATAGCATCACATGATAGCTTTCGATCATCTGAACTAAAGTTTCTCTGATATACAATTCATTGTATCTCTTTTGCTTCGTAGGAAAGAAGTAATCTTAGAAAGGTTAACTATAATGAATCTACTCTGTTCAAGGCCTTTATTATTTCTTGTTGTTTTAGTATATTTCACTTCTCATTTCCCTTCATTTTTTTTCCTTGAGACTAGACAGTATTGGTTTGTATTCAGTAAACGCTTTTGCTAGTTAAAAGTATTGAAACATCTTTCTTGCTTCCCCCTTCCTCCTATTTTCGTACCTCATATCCCTTCAAGTGAATGACTGCTGTAATAAACGTTAAAAGACGTTGCGAATGTATACTACTATCTCGCAAAATAAGTATTTAGAAAGTGCTCTTTAAGTTTAAATGATAGATTCCAGGATAATATCCAGATTGTCAATGCTACCTAGATACGAGCGGGACATGGGAGGTCGCGGTTTCTGAAGCTTTGTTCTGGGAAGCTTTTTTGTTTTGTTTTAATTGAAGAGGAGTGTTAGCACATTAACGTTTCGACTGGGCAGTATGAACTACAGGTTAGAAAAGCGAGCCTCGGCGCACAATATTTTATTTGCGAAACATATAACAAAACAAACGTGAAAATATATAATAAAAAAGTAACTATCGGGTAATAATTACCCCCATAAGCAGTTGTTCTATTCGTCGAACATAAATATCTTCTACTCAAGCACAAACTTTCATGTGTGTATGTGTTTTTATTTGTCGTTGTTTAGCTTTTTTATTTTATTTTTTTGGAAAGGGGGGGGGGGGGGAGTTGAGGGTGCCTTTTATTATTGAGCTAGGTTTGGCGCTGAGTGAGCTCACCTTGGGTATGTTTGGCAGCGCTGTCTTGAGGCTGTGATAGAAGTGAGACTTGTGCGTGGAGTCCTTCATCTGAATGACGTCGAGGTACTGAAGTCCGTGTACGGCAGGATCCATAAAATACTTAATCTGGACAAAGAGAAAGAAAGCGAAAGCGAGAGGTGGAGGAAAATCATTTGAATTACTTATATGTCCAAAGAAATAATATAAAGATAAAGAAACGGCATTGTCGACCCTTGAGACATTTTAGTCATTCCACTTCCGCAATACGATATTTTAATACCTCTGTTGTAGCATATTAAATATGCATAAATGAGAATAACAGGTATTGCATATCCGTGCTTAGTCGCGTGTATGATGCATAAATGTATAATTTAATTTATATAACTTGATTATTTGCTTACGTAAGCAAACTATGTCAGGAAGACACACAAATGATCAGTTGTCATAGTCATGTGCCTTCTAATATACATTTATGACTCATCAAAAAACAACTTAAGGAGAACCTGAAGGGGTTTTGTATTTGAGTAAAGACACTTAAATCACCTCTAGTGTGCCTCCACGATCATGAATATCGAGATTATTATCATTATTTTTTTAATTTGGTGCACGGAGGTTGCATAAGTTAATTTTCAAAGTACCACTAAAGTCACTCCTTCCCGAAGCGTTAGGCCAAAAAAAAAAAAGAAGAAAAAAAAAGAATTTTCGGAATATACGCTCTCGCGCATGTTCCGCGCATACCAAGGCCATGCACGCGCTGTCTTGCTATTTTCGAAAAGGTAAAAAAAGAAAAAAAAGCCACGACTGGTTTCAGTGCGGGAAAATATACCTGACAAGCTTACAACTGCACGCGCTACGCACACGAGCGACACTCGCTTGGCGCCCAAAAGATCGACCCTTTTATGACGTTTGACTGGTCGGAGGTTTTTCGTGTTTTGCACGTTTTGTTTCATCTTCGAAAAAAACAAACGTGATATTCAAATTCACGAAGAAAGGGTAATAGCACAGGCGAGCTGGTGAAGAACATCCATCGCAAACCGGAGACACGGCAAAATAAAAAGAGACTTCTGGTTGTCTTGTCTGTTCTTTTTTTATTTTGTCGTGTCTCCGGTTTACAGTGAATATTCAAATTCACGGTATAAAAATACTCTAGAATTTTCCTCTAACTCGTTTTTTTTTTCGAAAAACCTCTTTAGCTTCCCTTATCTTTATTGAATTCGATTTGATGCCGGAAGAGCAGAACGAATCACCTCCTGGTTTTCCAAAAATAGGTTCCTCGTCTCGCGAGAAAAGGTAAAAGGCAGAGTATCTGCCTTTTGCCCGTTTTCTGAGTTCCATTGTGTCAGAAATAAAGAAAGAAACAAATAGCACACCCCCGCAGCAAAAACCTAATATAAATTCGTCTTCTCATCTGAGCATTATAATTGCCGAGCCCAAGACATAAATAGCCTGAAAACTTAAAGTTTCAGGTAATTCCAAGAAAATCAAGTTACCAGTATTATACTTCGTTTTACCTTAAGTTCAGACGTATCCGATGTAACCAGCTGATGGGCCCAATCATACAGAATCAAAGCCGCACCACCGTAGTGTTCGTCAAGTTTTCATACGTGTTCTATTATCGCTGGACCAGTCATGTACTACAGGAAAGGATGAGTGGCATGCGCTCTTGAGGGTTATTGATTAGTAACATTATCTCGCAGCGTCGCATACGTTTGGACTTAAGCTGAAACAAGGTATATTCTTCGCTTCATCGCAAATCAAAGCGCAACTGACGTTAATATTATATTGTATATGTAAATCCTGTGCGCCTTTCTGAGGGCTGTACAGGAGTGGAACGTCAATTTCCATACATCTCATATCGTGCAAAATGTAAAGTTGGTATCGCCGGTTCGACGTCACTTGACGGAACGTCGCATTGGTGAATTGAGTTGGTGAACCAAGCCCCTATATCTGTGCCAAGTTCATAAACGGCTGAAGTAATCACGCGCAGTGAGCACGCCGTGACCTTGCACTTTTTTTAGTCAGTCCATCTTTATCTGTGCCTTCTAACTTTTGAGAGCGCTCTGACTTAAGCTTAAGTGTACACTGGAGGATTGCAGTTGTGAGCTCCCTGAATCACCCACTTAGTGAGTTCAGCAATCGTACGGCATCCCACACGTCGAGTGCGTGATATGACCCCCTAGTAATGCCGAATCAGTGGGCACTGAAATAGTAATACCTAATCTTGACTTTTGTCTCTGTACTTAGGAAGCGCAAGGATTGGATGATCCCGAGCACACCTACACTCCCAGAAATAGGATGTGTAGTACTTGCACCTCTTGTCCAATATAAAGTACCCCAAGAAGTACAATTCGACGTTTCGTCAAGTGACGTCGCACCGACGATACCAACTTTCACGATCTGCTTGGTAGTCGAGTGATACAACTTATTAAGATAGCTAATGAACCTATTACATAAAAACTCTCAAGGTTACGTTCGCCCTGCTGCAAAGCCTCAGTGTGCGTTTTTCTCTCTCTAGTGTTTGATACCTATACAGTAGCTCTTAAGTAAGTTATATCACAGAGATACCAAGCCGCTCGCAAAAGTTTGTATAGCTAGTTCGACGTTAGCACACTGAACGTCGAAATGTAGTTTGGGGTGGTATAGAAGAGAGAAGGGGTGTAAGTAGTACACCCCTCATTTCTGGGAGTGCCTTATCGCTCCGCACCCATTAAAATGGGACGATGAACCAATAACAACGCCAAGGAACCAATCACAAAGCAAGGAGCGTGAACGCTATAAGCCAAGCCCTGCACTTCTGAAGCTGCCAGCGACTCTATAGGTTAAAATTGTTATGGGATCGCCGAATTGGCCTCGCTTCCGATCCCAAACCCTTTGTTTCAAATGAGGCCGCCACGAAGACAAGCGGGTGCACACACTGATACACACAGACAGACAAAAGGGAGATGAAGTGCACGCTTTGAAGAGTATGATTGGTTCAATCAGACTTATGGACGGACTCGCACACGCACACGCACATGAAACCTCTAACAGTGATACAATCTCCGATTCCCGATTCCCGGACCGGTGTAAATTACGGATCTCGGACATAACGGCAGTTCATGTCGACTTTGCGCGTAGGCAGCTGCGCCTCTAGTGTAAGCACCGAGTTAGGATTGTGTCGTTCGGAAAGCTTGTCCGCTCGGCCCATGATTGTCCCCGGAACGCGGAAAACCGGCCGCCCGGAATAATGCAGCCTGAACGTCCTGCCATAAATCACTCTTGTCGTACGGCTAACTCATTAGAGGAGTCGAATGTTCCCGGGGTTCTTTGCTGACCCTTTTAATCCACGCGTACCATGCACGCCGCATGGGAGATTGGGATGTTGGTGCGTGCATTTCGATTGCGGCTCTTGACAGATTGTTTGAGAGCGGTCAGTATAGTACTTTTTTTTTTTTTAATTATGGACAAGAGGTGTTTTTGGTTCTGACTTTGGTCTCTGAAAGCTCAGGGAATGCAGGGACTGGTCCTCAGCATCTTATTATTGGTCCTTGGCCGATGAGATGGTAGCATAATTCGCAGAACAAGAAACGGGAACATATAAAGTCAAAACCCGTGTTTCTTAAACTGTTACTGACTATTCATAGGGGCAAAATTTTAGAGGCAACGTCCTTGATTTATTATAACAGCGATATCTGCACTACAAGTTGCCAAGAAGGTTTATTGAAAGCATTTGGCTAGCTAAGCAAGCTAGACTTGGCTTGTCGAAAGAGAATGTGGATTACGGCTTTTTTTTCGTATTATTTTACTATATTGCGCGATACAAACGCTTTGACATTAATATATTTTTACACGTACTTAATTTATTTGTATATTTCGAGTTATGAATATTTGTATACTGCAAACGACCCAAGTTTTGCGAAGACCTAATTTTGGAGTACATCAGAACCTGTAAAATATTTCCCGACAGATTGGTTCACTGATGGTAATAAATACATAACTGACCATTTCCAATGGTAATAAATGCACAACGTAGATTTCACAATCTCAATATTTTGTACCCGTCGTATAGCCTCGTATAGCCGAAACTCGAACTTCGCGAAAACACAAAAAAGATCGAGTATAGGTTATAATGTGGCAAGAAATCGTCATTTGACAGCAAAAGATATGAGCTGAAAAAAAAAATAACGAAACATGTAATCTTTTAATAAAAACCTGGAGGCACACGCCATCGACAACGCTTTCGTTGTCAAATATAATTGCATGCATGCGCGTTTCTCGCCATGAAAACGTGCCACACGAGAGTTCACCCAACGCCGCGCCAGAACCAAAAAGAGCAATGCTATATATAGACCAACTCAGCTCACTGACGTCACACCACTACGGTGGCGCTGCTGTCGGTACTATGCATGCGCAGGCGCTTCACTCCTCCCGATTTTGGTTTCTGCGTACGTTTAACGCCCGCGCCTGGTGTGGGCAAAGCGGGCTTGTTTGGAAACACTGTGTTGGTGTGCACTTCGTTTCAGCAAAGGTCGAGCCACAGCCGATGCTACGAGCTAATGGTATGCCGATGAAGCAGCGTCAAAAGTGGAAAACACTGGGCCTTCTTTGTTTATAATTTGTTCAGCGATGATGCAACACGTACGAAAACACGACGAACGCCATGATAATGCGATTTTCATACAATCTGGTTGGTTTCCATCAGCTCGTAGCGTCGACTGCTTCTAGATTTAAAGGGGTGATGAAACGATATCGGTTTGGAATGATCGTGATTTTACAGTGCCGTACTGGTTCTAGTTTGGCTCCAGTATATTCGCACAGACAGCCGCTGATTTGGAAGCTTGTTTTTCGCGGTGAAATTGCGAGGACGAAAGGGAACTGCTTCTTTCAGTCTTGCCTTCGTAAAACTTGATGACGTAATTGTGGGATCGAAACCACCCGCCTGACGACAGTCGAGCGCGGCTCATGCGTTCGACACGGGAACTGCGTGAACACTGGACTTCGGCTCGTAACAGACAGTGCCTCGGCGACCACTGCGGTGATGAGAATGGCCGAACTCTAACAATGCCTGGAGCTGAGCACGCGTTCTCTACTTCGTCAACCCAGAGCGTGAGTGTGATTAACGATGGCGGCACAGGATAGGAACCAGGCCACGTGGTTGTTTTTTTTCTGGCTACGAGTTAAGGGGATCAATGATGCTCATATTTCTCGAACTATTTTGACGAGAGCCATTGCCTTAAAATAAAAAGTGAGGCAAGTCTATTAAGTTATTAACGTTAGAGAGGGAGGGATTCTAAGTAAATTGAGCGAGAGTAAAAAAAAGTTTCAAGACTACTTTAAAGGAGCCCTGCAACGATATTCTCTTGGAATGTGTTTCACTTTATACGAGCGTACTGACACTAGTGGGGCCCAATTATACTCGTACAAAACTTCACTGACCAAGAAACTTTTTTGTTGTGGTGTAACTTTAAGGACAAAAGCGAGCGTTTTTTTTTTCTTTCACAAATATTTATGACGTAGCTGGGGGATCGCAGTACACCCAGTGACGATATTTGAATGGGGCTCATAGACTGGACCCGAGCATTGCGTGAGCACTCAATTCGGGCTCGTGGTAATCAATGGCTTGAGAAGCATTCAGGTTGTGGGCCGTGTCCAATCTCTTTAATGATGACAATAGTCAACCATAACAATGTTTGCAACTCGGCGCGTGTCCTGTGCTTCGTCAACCCCAGCGCGTGGCTATGGTCAACATTTGCGGCATATAATTGGCGATTGAAAAGGTTTACTCCGACTTAACATAACAAATTAATAACAAAAGGTACAGACGTTTCGCCACCTATGCAGGTGGCATCTTCAGTATACACTGACACAAATGAGGTGAGGTCGACCAGTCTACTTATCACACACGTGATAAGTAGACTGGTCGACCTCACCTCATTTGTGTCAGTGTATACTGAAGATGCCACCTGCATAGGTGGCGAAACGTCTGTACCTTTTGTTATTAATTTGTTATGTTAAGTCGGAGTAAACCTTTTCAATCATGAATTCACCCGGCTTTTGGAACATTTTTGCATATAATTGGCTCCAGATCACATGGCCACTTGTCTGGCTGCAAGTTTTGCGGGTAAACGCTTCTCGTTTTCCTCTATTTGTTTTTGCGACTTCTATGTATAGCTTGCATTTGACGTCATTCATGGCCATGTTAGTATTTTATGCACCGCTAGCTTTCGGTTCGCCGTGTTAGTTGTACACCACCGAAGTTGTAGTTTAAAGAAACCGGTAGGTAGAAATTACAATCAGTACGCAACCGTCGCGACACTTGCAAGCTATGTATTGCGTGTGGCAAAAACTTAACGCGTGTTTCATAGGTCATTAATGCCAGGTGTTCGTTCTAAGCATTATTGCAGCAGAGCAAAAACACCGTTGCTTCACCCCTTTAAGGTGAAACCAAGTATATAAGTTGTAATCGGCATCTGACCGTCGCATTTTTAAATAAATATTTCAACCCCCTTCTTTTCCCGCTTCAGAATGGTGACTGATTCATCAAAAACATTTGTTAAAAAAAGCAAGAAAGGGTTGGTTGTGCCTTGGGAAAAAAAGCTGCTCAATAAATCGTGCGTGTTCAAAAAACCATTAAGAGGCAAGGTCATAAAACCGAAAAGAACCCCTTCGAATTTAAAAGCAAAAATGTATAAAGGTTAACGCGCATTTGGTTGGCAGATTATTGAACGAAACTGGTACAACCTAAAGCACAAAGGCTGCAAAGCGAAAATGGAAAGGCACCAAACTGCGCCGATTTCAGTACCTGCTTTTATGTGGCACTGTTCCACTCAACTTTTGAAACCTTTCTTACGAATGGTGTCTAGATCCGAACCTGTCGACATTCCGAGTTGCGTAAACTAAATCTCCAGCTTTCTTCGTAAAAATTATGTCTAACGAAACGCCGACGAGACCAGAATCAATTGCAAAGCCCACCAGGCGTTCTGAAAGTGTCAAAGGTAACAGCTGCGACAAGCAACCTGGGTTGGTCAACCCGCGTTCAAAATAACAGCCAGTGCCGTAAACTCTCCTTTTTGATGAGAAAGAAAAATAAAAAGAAAAAAAAGATGCCGTATTTTTAGTACCGCCAAAGAGTTTCGCCAGATGGGACTTGTAGTAAACTGTATTTTTCATGTAGCATATGAAGTGAACAGGGAATAAATGTCAGCGTCCTCCATTATACTACATTGTTCGTGTCTGGGCATTTACACAGGAAATTTTTGTTATTTAATTATAATGCCTATTGACAGCCTTGTCATAAAAATATAGGGCACAGCGCTCAATCGTTTATACTAAACTTCCAATCTAAAGCTGGTTAGTTCTGCAAGGCTATACGTGATAGATGATTTTAATTCTAACATGTATTAAAAACGGCCAAGTCAAACAAATTCAAATAACGCATTTATTAAGTAAAAATGTTCATGCTTTCTTTCTATATGCCACATACTTCTAGAATATTTTTTTTTAACGGTGTTTAGTATTGATGCGTGCGTTACATAATCCAGCCTTCCACGCCAGGGGGCCAGCGGAAGGTTATATCGTGAGCCTTATCTCAAAAGGTCATATGCTTCAAGAATATTTGACAACTACCTTAAGAACCTGACCACGTATGTTTCAAGGCCAGGATGGGCCAGATCGGCCGAATTCATCCCATACTGTCGGAGACTAAATTTGATCGGGGGCTTACCCCATTACTTGTTGGGAAAATACTCAAACTACGTCGTCGGAGATCCCACCGTCCAAAAATCCGGCCAATCGTAAGTCGTCGCACGCCACCACAACACAAAATGCCTCGCTAAACAAAACAAGCACAAACACACGCACGCATGCACGCACGCACGGACGCGCACGCTCGCTCGCAGTCACGCACGCACGCACACACGTAAAAAATATCCTTAACTCAAAATCAAGGATAAACAAAATTTAAACTTATAAACCGTCCGTCCGGTTTCGATTACGTTGCAGAGCGATTCTCCACAGTCGCTTCACAGCACTCACTGGCTCCGCAATCGTTGCCTTTACGACACCATTTCGTGGAACACGTCCCACAAAAAAACAACAGGAAAAAAGATAAACAAACAAAAATCTGTCTTCCAGAACAAATGGACATCAAACTTCGATTGGAAGCTTACGACACGGCGCAGCGCACTTCAAGATCTACACACCACCTGTTCTCGTCCCTTCTCTCATTATTATTTTTCTCTCTCTTTCTCTTCTTTCCCCATTTTTCTCTCCCCCTCCTTCCCCAACTCCTTTTTTTTTTGCCTCCCGTACAACCAATGCTGAGAAATGGCGCGTCGTGGTGTGAATAATTCAGCGTCTGCACTGTTGCCGTCGAAGCCGCGCGGCGACGAAACTCTCGCCCTCTCCTATACTCCGTTTCCCTTTAGGGATGGACCGCGACGGACACCACGAGCCATCCCAGCCAATCAAGGCCTGTGAAACTTGTCACGTGACTACGCGTCCCCTATGCGTCGCCGCACCCCCCGCCCGATGGTCACGCGATACTCACGCGACATTCGACTGGCTTCGATGGCTCGTTGTATCGTCCTGGGCGGTCTATCATAATGCAAAACAAAGTGTACAGAGAACCGGCCGGAACTATGGTCGTCAAACGAACGCTCGGGGCGCCATGCTTTAATGATTTTAATATAACATGGCGTGCGGACGCCGATGTTCCCGTGAACACCCCCCCCCCCCCCCCCCCCGCTTTTCTCTTCTTTTCCTTCTTTTGCTAGAATACAATTTTTGTCCTTATGTATATACTCTGTGTGCAAAAAGAAAGCATCTAAAGGAACAATTGATACCCTACTTTCGTACGCGTTAATATTTGAAAACGTTTCGAGCGTTAGGGAAAGATTAGGAGGATACTGCAGGTCGCTGACTCTGCCTTATTTATTCTGTCCCTCTCTACTTCCCGAGCACCCGCTTTGCCTGTCCTTTGTTTACATAAGAACAGAAACGGCCTGGCCGGTAACTTTTTGATACTTTAGTTCGGGCCGGCTTTCTGTGGTGCGATTTGGCCCGTTATAAACGTTTCTTTCGCACCAGACGAAATGGCTGAAAAACTGAAACTGACACGAGAATCCTGATGAAACGCCTTGACCGACATGCGTTCACGTCTTGACGCGTGATCAATGAGATCGGAGAGAATGCGGTTTGCGGACATGTACACTGAATAAAACAATAAAGTGGTATGACCTTTCTGTACGGGCTGCCTGATTAACGGTAAAAAAAAGAGCAAGGTTAAACGGAATGCAGCTCGAACGACAAGAACTACGTGGATGTACCAAAATCGGCGGATTGAGAAGATAAGTAGCTTGTGAAACGGTAATTCTAATCTTAAACCGAACAATCTATACGTTCTTTGGTAAAACCGGCAGATAAATCTGTGTTCGGTATGTGAAGTAATAGGAAAATTAAAGGTAAATTACTTTTCATCACAAATAATCAACTATTGTAATTGACACGTTTTAACCAAGGGTTACTGTAATTTTAATCGATTCCGTTTTCCAGTAACAGATTTCTTAGGGTGTATAAAGTCACTTGAAAGGTACACGTCTCCAAAAGTAAGCACGAACAAAATTCAAGTTTTGACTAGCACAAGGACATCCGCGTACCATGGAGAAGTTCTGGGCGTTGGGCCTTCGCCTGGGGTCCACCTGTAGAAGCCCCTGCAGCGGTTCCTGAAGGTGGTGCGGCACTCGGTCCAGCATGTTGTGCAGGCTGCCCTCAAGCTGAAAGAAAATTGAAAAAAAGAAACAAAATACTTTTTCGAATATGCTGCAGCGCACTTATTCCAATACGAGAACAAAAGAGGGACATGAAATACAATGCCGACGACATAGTTTCTATGTCCCTCTTTAGTGTCTGTATTCTATACTTCACTTCACCTGAAGTCGGGACGCAACCGAAGCAAACGAGTTTAAGGGGCAATCAAACAGCGCAAACATCGCAAGTTACTGGGCCTTCCATGCACATAATTGTTATCACGATGAACCAAAACACTTGACGATCTCCCTATTGCTGCATTTTTGAGATAGTTTGATTGGTCACACCAGCTCATAGCGTAGCTGCCACCGGGAATTTCGAGAAATTACGTAGTCATCAAAATACTCAGCTGTCCAAATTGCACTTTATTGTATGGGGTTCATTTCAAGGCCGAAGGTTCACTTTTAAGTTGCTGAAAAAAATAAAGGCAGGTACAGACAAGACGACAGATCTTACTTTTAGCCTACAACAGTGTAGGAATTTTTTGTTGGCCTTGCAGGCTTTCCCATTTCCAAAGCCCCGGCAAATGAACGAAGAGAAGATTCTAAACATAAAAAATCTAGGAAACACAAAACATAAAGGATACTTCGATCACTATGGCAATAGATTCTCATAGCATGTACTGTAATCTAACAATCTTAAACACCCATTCGATGAGGCAGTTGCGTGTTGCTGCTCAGAATGCGCCTTGGTCAGAACCATTATTCACTCAAACGAGTAAATTAAGGAAGCTTTGTTTTATTATCTCTCTAAAAGTAAAGTGCCTCTGGCCAAAGTTTGCTTGAGGCTCCGCATGAACTGCTTTAACGAATGAGTGTATCGTATTAAGAAAAACAATACATCCGTATAAAATAAATACAATTGCTCAATAAAAAGAAATTAAATCAGACTGAACCGCTATTGATCTGAATCAACCATATCGGCAGAGCTTTTTTTTTATCATGAGGTGGGTTGCTGATATGTCAACACTAATTTCTGCGGTAAGAGAACTGGAGACATTGATTTCATTTGCGCGATAACCAACGTGCTTTCCTAACGCGGTAAGTTAATCGTGCTTTTTCCATCTGAGTACAAAAGAATATGCAATTATTCTTTGAAATTGATCTTGACTTTTTTTACCTAAAGAGTGTACAAAGAAGAACATATATTCGAATCTTAATAATATCCAGTTTTACTACATATAAAAACAATAAGAAAATGAGATAATTTCGTGGTAAGAGTACTTTTTGTTTAAAACATATTCGAAATGACGCTTTTGGATGTTCGTCTCCTTGATTCATCATGCCACAGAGTTATTTCCAATTTTATTGTAGTTGGGCCTCTATACTTCGTCTCCCCCTACGATGGACTAAAGGCAAAAGCTACGGACCGCCAGATCGAATCACGAGCCACTCAGAAATTGTGCGATATTTTGCTTCGATGCACGTGTCGGTGACCGCGTCTCGGATCACTGATAAGGGGACGGGTGGACAGTGGTTCAAATCGAGGAGCACTGAGTGACTCAACAGTATTACATCGCAAAGAAAGCCACGACTTATACAGGCTCTTTGCAGCGTCGAAGCTATAGAAATGATGGAGCGCTTTTGGATTCAAGCATTATTTGTCCACCCCTAATCAATGTTAAGTGTGTCATAGTATAGCGCGGAACGTGATTGGACCTGGCGGCCCGTGGCTTTGGTTTTTAGTCCATCTAGGATGAGACAAAGTATAATTACCCTGAGGGTTACTGCACACAATAGTATTTTTGTCTTATCTCTCGTCTTAAAAAGAAATCGATTGTTTTGCATTAAGGCTTAGTACAGTCCATGGAAGTCATAAACAGCAATTCCAAGATGTCTTTACCAACACGTAATACAAAAATATATGTTTATTTTTTTCGCCAACTGATTGCGATGATCATTCCTCCATCGAACGTTTACCGTGCCCGACAAGCTCGCAGTCGAAAATTCACGTAATGATGGATTCCTCTCTCCAATTTTTTTAACGGGAACAGAAACGAAATTTTAGGGTTCATTCAATAGCTTAGGTATATACCACGTCGCATCAGCTCCTGAGAAACATGAGTGTTTCATTTGTAAACGTGAGAAAAGTAATTTTAAAACGAACAAAACAATTACCCACTTGCACTTAATAATTGGGGGGTCCAAGCTTTATTGGGGGATCGGGACGTGTTGCTCCTCTTTCAGTGGCGCCACCCTCGGCAGTACACCGTACTCATATAGATACCATAGCCGTGATCGCAATGACGCAATCGCGCTACTTTGCGCGGCGCGCAATTGTTTCGGTACCACCGGGTCGTTTTTTTTTTATTCATCACTTTTGCGTGCAGGATACTGCGCAGTTGTGCCACAGAAGGCGGCGGCAAAAGCGTGCTGAACTGCGAGACGCCGAACCACGGGTTTTCCAACGATGAGAAATTCCGAAGCGTGTGGAGCCGTTTCGCGCGTCTGTCGTCTCTCGGGCGCCGGCAAAGCCGATCTCCTGTTCGGTGACCATTTTCACGATGAGAAATATAAAAGGCGACCGACGGTCTTAGGAGTCTGAGTCTACCTACTAAGAATATTCGGTTGCTACCAGGGGTTTTGCCGACTATATTTTTGCAAGAAGTGAGAAGCAGACGAGCTCAGCTAACCGCACCAAAAACGAAGCAAACTGGGAAGTGAGCAGGCTGTTAATAAAACACCTAATAGCGTATACCGCAAAGTTGCCCAGTCATTATTAAATGCAATCCTTTTCTTGGCGACCCTGACCGATTTCAGATTTTGTCGGGCGGACGGTCGGTCTATCGGATGGTTCGTACGGTTCTGGCGTGAATCGCCAGTCTCTTACCATGTGCTTCCGCACATGGTGAGTGACTACTCGTCCTCGCTGACATGTTCCGAGTCGTTTTAGTAGCCGAAATCCTCGTCCTCTCGAGCTCATAGATCATGGCGGAACGCCCCGCGGGCTACAGGTCGAAATAAATGACGTCTCGACGGTCGTCCGGCAGCTGTTGCAACTGTGCAGTCCTCCGCCACTCTGAAAAGATAGATTGTAACGCGCAAAAGCCACCGCGTGGCGCGCTCATAATCTCGCTAGCCTTTGGCTGTGCTTGAGGAGCCTGACGCTAGGATTGCGACGGAGTTCCCATGACGCATCGCACGCTTCGACGGCTGATTTTAAAGCGCTCGCTAAAATCGGACGTTTCAAACCAAAAATATAACCATCCGCTCAAAATACGAAAGTGCGATTGCCATTTACGAATGTCATGGGTCATATTTCACCCATTTCAGAAAGGTTTCCATATATTTTGATTTTCATGCACATACCCCTTTAATTTATGTTAAGCCAAGCTAAATACATTAAACTATTCAGTGCCGCTCAGAACAAACTAACAAAGCACAGCCTTATTGCAGTTTTCCCGAGGGATTGACCCATCATCCAAGTGGAAAGCAAAAATGAAACAAAAATTGTGTTGTTTGTATTTCAGACTTAGGAAAGTTAGACTACCTCAATGGGTGTCTGGTGCGATCGCTTTAGATCAGATATTTAGCCAGTGCACTATCACAGCCAGCCTCGGGCCTTTAATGTGCATCATATGACTGCACGTTGATATAATGTTGATCCAAATCGAAACGGTGAGGGATGGGGATTGAACAAAGGACCCTTGAGTTCTGCAGCACAATCTTGATCTTCACGTGATTTGAACTGTGCTGCATTAGCACACTCGGCAATTGATGCCCCCAAGAAAACAGACACTGACAGGACATTATTCAGTCCGCCCGACTTTGAAACAATGCCGCAACATGAACGCACGTACTGTAAGAAAAAAAAGAAAGACGATATAGCAGGCGAAGATCGAACATCCTCACCACTTCAAGCTGCTTGTTGTAGGTGGTGGTGGAGAGGTTTCCTTCGATGATGGAACGCCCGCCGTTGAAGAGCGAGCAGATGATGAGACCCAGGGAGAACATGTCTGAGAGCGGGGAACAGGAAGAAGCCGCCTGCACTTCTGGGGCCGTGTAGTCTAGGTCCGGCTGGCCCATCTTGGGCAGCTTGGACGTGAACGGCTGACAGCTCACGGGGCTCTGAAAGACAGCGGTCATCTTACCGTGGACACTAGTATTGTTGATCATCCCACCATTGCCGATCCTGCTAGTGCATATGGTACCATTAGTGACTGTATCGTTGCCCATAGTACCAATGTAGGTGCTGCTATTCCAAATGAAACAATTTCCGATGGTACTGTTGCCGACAATTCCATTGTTGATGGTACCACTGAGGATGATACCATTTCAAATTGTACCATTGCCGATGTTACCATGGCGGACGGCATTATTGTAAATGACACCATTGCTGGTGGTATTATTGCCATTGATACCGTCGCCGCGAATCAGGTAGACGAATGTATGTTGGTCAATTATACCTCTGGCAATAGTGCCGTTGACAGTGGGAGCATGGACGATCAGTTATTTCATATTGCACCATTGGTGACTTTAGTATAGGGGAAAATAAATTTGCTGACAGTATTCTTTCCGGCTGTTGTATTGTTAATCGTATTGTTGACAATCTAGCCTTCGCATTTCGTAGTATAGGCGATCGAAGCGCCTCCCAAGCAGATAGTGTATTGATGTTCGTAGCTTTTTAAATTGTACTTTTGGCGACCGTATTATTAGCGAACCTACCCTATGTAACCACGGATCTATGTGCGTTTCCATCACAAAATTAGATGCACAAGCATTGTTTAAAATATAGCCTGTGCATTCTTAAAATTGTATATCTCAGTTGTAACTAACAAACTAGACTTTTAGCGTGCCCGGTTCAAAAAATGTAACGCACAATTGCTGTTAGCTTACAATTACTATTTCTGACAAAACCAGAAATGCTCAAAAGTATGTTAACGATTACAGTTATACAATTTCCACTAATATGCTCACGCTGTCTGGTAGTTGATTAAAAGCTGAAAAATTTGTGTATCTAAACACGAGGTAATTCTTAAGAAGGACCCTTTGTCATAACAATAACAATATATATATATATATGTATTACTGCATAACCAGAACTTATCTGTATGGATCAATGCGTACAAACTGAGACGGACTATAGTTCCATTCTTTATCAATACAAAAAAAGAAATACAGATATAGCGGTGATCCTTCAGACGTGCCTTCATAACGAACGTTCTTAACAAACCATAGAGCATCACACAGTTAAAGTGACTGAGTATATTGCGCTTTAGAGTTTCTACTCGGTCTAAGCTCGACAAACCAAAATAGAAACGCCCAATTCTTGCCCCAGTTGCTGCAATCAGCGCCCCCTTCACCAGTCCGCAAAACAAGGGGAAAGTCACACGCACGTAGAACTAAGACTTCTATCAATTACAAGCTGTAAAACCGACGAATCTATGGTCACTTAGAGTTTAAGAAGCGCAGAGCGGGAGGCACGATATCTCGTATAACAAAAACTCCGCATGCTCACAACGGATTGCACAGTCGAGTAGGAACAAGTTGCAGCGCGCAGAGGGCGATTGTTTTGATTAATTAATTAATTAATTAATTATTATTTAAATAATTAGTCAATCAATCAATCACAAATAAGTTACAGGCCAATTCATTGCGTTCATATCAGACATAATTGATTTTGGAAGAATGCGCGAGACGTGATATTGCGCAGAAGACAGTTCCACGCATTCCCGCAATCCCATTCGTAGTTTAGAGTAAAAAGATGTCGGCTTGCAAAAGGCGAATATGGGAACGGTATCCCGGTGCTATTCAGAATATCGCATGATTTATATAATACAATAAAGGTGCGATAGCACAATTGTACATGATGAAAAATTGGGCTCAAAGGGACAGGACAAAGTAAGACACATAATAATAAATTCGTCGATATAGCTGTTTATACGGCATGCAGGAGTTTAGCCTCCCAGAATATGGCGACATTGTTACGAAGGTGGAGAATAAAAATCAAGATGATTTGAATCGCGACCTGGATCAGACCCGTTTTACTATGGCGATTTATATCGAAGGTTTTCTCCAAAATAACCCCGAAAATAGTTCTTAGTTTTTATTTTGTGTTTGTATAAAATGTAATTATCTCTGTGTGAATTTGTTGTGAACTGAAATCAAGCAATCATTAAGCAAGAAAAATTTATATAAGGTTGAGCAGGAGCAAAAAGCACTGTTCTTCTGAGCTAATTGGAGCATTTAGGATTTAGGCTTCGTTCTACCTTCCACTTTGATGGTCAGCTATGGAACGTCAATTTCACGCAAATCATAACACAAAAGAAAGATGTAACTAGAAAAGTAATGTATTATTGGAAGCAAGATAGAACGAGAAACAAAAAGTAAATTAAGCTTTATAGCTAAATAAAAATGAATCAAGTTGTTCTTATTGTAGTTGCTGGGGGTTTAATCCAACAGAAAGTTCTGAACTTCCTTTAAATTTAAGTCATTTTTTTTTTCCATATTGGTATCAGTGATCGGACAGGTTATTTAATCTATCTACCATATTTAAAAATTCATGCAGCGATAAAGTGAAATTTTTTAGCGACATGCATTCAAATCAAATTGGTCTGATTGGAATGCAATAAGTCTGCTTAATATAAAGATAAATCTGATTCATTTGAGTTACAAAATCACCTTTCCCCGCCCTGGGTGTTGCCCACTGTAGATAAAAAAAAGTTAGCGATTGCAGTACGATTGGTGACCTCGGGTTTTAACGTGTGTCACACAGTAGAGATACACGACCACACGCCGTCATCTAAATCCAAACGGGCATGACTGGGGATTGAAACAGACACGCGCGCTGACTCCCAACTGAAATATATTAAACAAAGAGAAGAAAGAGGAACTAAGCAGCGAAATATACTTCTGGTGCGAGTCGTCGCGTGTGTGTCTTGCGTTCGTTTCTTTTGTCCTGTCTTTTTGAGCGGTGTATTCATCGTGTAAAACGATCATCAACAAACCCAACTTACCACCTTGCTGCACTAACATACGGTTAATTGTAACTAGTACCTACTACGCAGCTCCCTTTGGTACCCAGCGGAGGGGTAAGGGTGTAAAAGGAGTGTTAGTACACCGCTTTTCCCCACACCCCTTCCCCTTTTGTGCAATGCAATGCCATTGGTTGCGGGTGCTATGACGTCAAACCTTATGCTGATGCCCTACGTTGCTAACGCTCTCTCTCGTGGCCTAGTTGCAATGCTCACATCATGAACACTCGCGAGCAAGTTTTGTGCAGGTGTTCTCATATAAAGCTCTCGCTTTAAAAGGTTCTCACGACCCGAGGTGTGCACTTCTCGAGCGAAAGACGACAAAATCCCACCATGTTAGGGAAAGCACTTCGAATCCTACGCTCAACAGCAAAGCGAGCCGCCGTAGATAAAATATAAAGCATAGAGAGAAAAAGATATATCTAAAAGCGTTCTGAAGGAAGGTTAAGAAAACATAACGCAAAACACAAAAAAACAAACAAAAAAACGTAAGCGCGATTTCATGTTCCGAATGATTGGTGCTTATTGTTTTATTTTTGAACGTTGCTTCGACCCAGAATTTGTTTCTCTTTTATTAGGCTAATAGAACCCGTGACATTGGGACTCAGTGTCACGTTCTTTTTTTAGTTGCTGGTGGAAAGGAATATTTAAGAAATAAGAAAAAAATGGCTGAGGTGAAAAAGGGTGAATCGTTCGCTTCGGAGGACAGCATTACTTTGAGCAAAGTTAAAGCAATTCTGCAGTTTTTTTTATTTTTTTTTTATTTTGCTATTGTTTTTCTATGATGGGTATTTCTCTTCATTTCTGGTGTTTTTTTGTTTGTTTTTTTCCTCTTCGGTACACACTTTTACATAATTTGTCCGCTGCTCATTTTTTTTTTCGCGTAACACCCTGAAGATAACTAAATAAATCATGATGTTTTAACTAAATGCTATCAAACCTTTATTTTCAACGGAAGCTTAGACCGCGCGAAGCACGTCCGCCTTGAACGATTTCGGGGCTGGCTTTTTAGAAGAAAAAAAAAAGTGTCTCGGTTAAGATAAAGATATCGTTTGGTAGCTCATTCCAATCGCGAATTGCCTGAGAAACAAAAAAATTTGTCCGAGAAAAAATGATTACTTCAAACAGTCCTTCTTAATCCTTTGTTGTCTTAACGCTTTAGTAGGGTTTAGGCGTCGGGACCCTGTCGATAATGGTTCTAAGTAGCTAGAGCTTCAAATTTGAATAGTGCCGTTAATAATATTATACAACACTTTTAATCTATCAATTTTTGCTCTGGTTTGCAACGGCTGAAGCTGTATTCTGAGAGGCAGTTTTGTAGATAAAGTTCCTGTACGAAAATTATTAAAAATAAACCGAACACCTAGTTTCTGAATACTTGCAGGCCTTCAGGAAGAGAAGAATCGACAAAATATAAATTTACGCGTTAGGGTGGCACACTGAGTCCGCGTATTCTCGCACAGGTCTCACAAAACTTTTATAGGCAATAGGTTTTGTATATGAATCAGCAAATTTTAATTTCCTTCTACAGCTTTATCTGAACACTTGCCGATAAACCTATTTAAAACGGTTTTTACATATTCAGGGTCAAAAACTTCAAATAAACCTCGCAACGTACCTTGATTTATTATGTTTAAGTTTCAACATTGAAGTGTGAATTGCACTATTAAGATTTACTAAGAAAAAAGGAAAGGCATGTAAATCCTTTTCACTTTATATTGGAATTACGTATGCTGCGTAAAAATTCACTATCTACGCGCCCTCAGCATCCGTTAAAACTCAACATTAGTCACGTGTTAGCGTTTTTATTATTAAAACCCTGGCCCAAACAACGTTGCTGCGTTTTGAAGCGTTCTTCAAAAACTGGGGGCTTTGGTTGTAATGGTGGGGGTCGTTCACCGAAAACCAGGACGACCGGCTTCAACGAAAAATGGTTTAGTCCAACTGTCAGGCTCGTTCTGCCCGTGCTCGCTCCCATGTCACCTCTTCTTGAGGTAGACAAAGTCTTTCATGCCAGCCACTATTTGGTATAAATTTTCAACAACCATAACAACCCCATCTTCCTGAAATATATCTCACAAATAAAAAAAGGGGAGGGGGTTACGTGGGTTTGGTTGCGATCTTAGTAGGGAAAAAATCTAAACAAAATTGCAATTTTAAATTTCTAAAGACACTTGAGACACTCCAAATGCGTTATTTGCCATAGATAAACGAATTAAAACTCTCTTTTTAAGATAGTTTGCTTAGACGACATTTACTGGACTATTTTTTTATAAGCAAGTTGTCGTTATGCAGATTTTGAACAAATTATAGTCAAGACACACAACTCAAGAGTCTCACGTTAGAAACACTCCGCGTCTGTACGGCGAGAAAACGATACTACAAAACTGCGCCTCTGTTTTCTTCCCCCTTACATCAACACAACGGAAATTCAGTCAGTAACTTGTCTTTTGCTCACCCTGCAATCTCACCAAATCCGTGCAAAAATACCGGCCGATGAATCGAAAAAGAAAAGGCAATCACCCAGCAGCATTTCACCATTTCGTTCTGCATTAGATACGGTCCAGGAAAGGAATGACTCGCGCCACGCTGAACAATAGATGATCGACGACTGGTGGAACCCACGAAGTGTCTATAGGACGCCCCCGATGAGCTACAAGTCTTGTTTTTGTGTTGATCGACCCAGTGTTGAAAGAATTCGTAATGCAACTTTTGGCTATTTTACCGTAGAACCTTAGTCAAAAACGCCTTCGAACGATGTTTTCTTATCACCACGCCGTCAATCCTTCGGCTTGCCTTATCGGTTGAACGTCTCTCTTTTATTTTCTGTTGGTTGTTTCAAGTTCGCTGCACATTTTCATGTGGCGGTCGGTGATATACTGCGCTGCAGTAGAAGCGAATATTCAACGATAGGAGTCTAGCGAAGAAAAATTACGGAATACAAAATAATGCGACACCACGTATTTGAATACCATATTGCTTCGCCATGAACAGCGATAAACTATTTTCTTAACTAGCCCTAATCACTGCGATAAAGCTGATTAGCACATAATGCATATTACATGTATTGCGCGTGCGTTATGATATTGTATACCTGGTTACGGAGCGCGTTGGATAGCTACCGATACGTTGTACGCAGGACGCGCCATGTGCTTACCGAGTTTATCACAATGATCGAGAAAAGTTTAAACTTTTACAGAACCCGTGTTGTCCTGAGATTGCGCTGAGGGCCGCCCTTCTACATCCGAGAACCAGCTGCGCGCTCTTGCAATCACCTGCTACCACAGGTTCGCGAGAGACATATACCGTCCAGCTGTGTCCGCTATCGTTCGCCCACTCTTCGTGGCGCCGAACGAAAGCGTTCTGCGGTGGATATCACGATTCGAGGTTTAATTCCGGCCGCTCCGCTGGGTGGATTTGAATAATTACGATTTATTGCTGTAAATTATGATTAAGTGTGACCAACAATGGCTTAAGTATACCTTCTGTAGGCCTTGCATGCTTATGCATTGACTGCTATGGGTTATGTATGCTTTATGGTGCCTTGGCCTGCATGTAACGGTTTTTTGTTGCTCTCGGGCGCAACGCCTTTTTCATAAATCCTGGCCGTTAAACGTACTCTGTGTAGAGCAGATGGGAGTGATAAATGAAACGGAAGTAAATAGTTCTTTTTGGCCTTTAGACGCGCTCATCAAGCCTATTTGTAACTCCAAAAAAGGCGACGCCACTCTCTAAAATACGTGGAAGAAAAAAGTGGAAGCTGCCTTCTATCCAAGTATGCACTGAAAGCTGGCACTGCCTGATAGTTTAAATGTAAAACTGAAAAAAAATGCAAAGGTGCTTGTAATTGGAGATTTTCTGATATAAGGCGGTGACTGTGGAATTATGGGATTAGAAAGGACTTTCTAGAGAGGATGTCCTCTCCCTCTATCGAAGTGGCATAGTCCTTGATGGTTTCACACTTTTTTAACAAAAACTATCAATCACGCATAAATTTTAATCAGATGCATTTTTAAAAGATTAAAAGAGCGCAAAAAATACGACGGACTAGATGTAGAAGGACACAGACAGAGCGCTGTATTCTTGCTGGTTACCGAAAGTGAGTAGCGCTGAAATTAAGAAAAGTCTTCTCCAGACATCCCGAGTTTACACATACTTTGGGTCATCCAGATGACGACAAAGACGTAGTTTCCCAATTTCGATACTCACTGTACAAGGGCCTTTTGTGAACAACAAAAATCGACAAAAGAAAGTGATGTGCTGCTCTTGGAGATTGTACGCTATACTCCGTTTCGCCTTATGCTGTACCGCAGCGAAGGCTAGAAGCGCGAGCTCATAGCGTTGGCAGCTGCCCTTGGAGCACGAGAGCTTGTGCCGCCGAGATCTGCCCTAGAGGAAGGAGCTCGCGCTTGTAGCCTTTCCTGCGGTACATCGTATGGTGAAACAGAGTATAGTTGCTGGGATGTTTTTCGCGAATATGTACTTCCAAATGTTCCCAGAAGATTAAAAGTCGGGGTCTCGCTGCTCCTACCATCATACAAAAGACAGTCTACAAACACGAGTCACCGTACTATTCGTGGTTCGAATGCGGCGCGCCAAGTTTTCTTCTTGAACTCATTGCCATGCGGCATTCGAAGCACGGATCTCGGGGTGACTTGTGTCAGAATCTGTCTGCACACTGCCTGTTGTAGCAATAACAGCGTAGACTGAACTTTCGGGAAAGCGGCAAAGTGCACTCGAAGAACTGAGGAGCGTGAATGACGCTCGAGCAGACAGGGTGACAAATTTTCAAAACCGTAATAAATAATTGTAACCTTAAAAAAAAAGTGTTAAAAATAACATGCTCTGTGTCCGATTATAGCTTGCCTGCAGCTGCAATAAACAGAACACAGAGGGATAAATCCCTCGAGGATTGGTATTACCTGTCTTAAAACATTTTGTACGTGGGATGCTCAATATAACCTTCAACAATTAGACTGACTCTTTTCATTTTCAATGGCTCAGTAGTTCTGCGAATTTTTCATTTGTCTTCTGTACACCTTTCGATCGCTTATCACCCAGGCAAAAAGAAAACGTGTCACTGGGATCTAGATGTAGGTGCGATATTCCTCAGAAGATAGCTACAGCCCATGCTCAGAACGGATTTCACAGCCTGGTAGTCAAAAATGGCAGCGCGCAGAAATGAATGATCTAAGTGGTCTATGGGCTGTTCTTTTGTGAGCAGCGCCATTCTGAATTCCGCAGCGCCTCCCGGAGCATGTCAGATTCTGTCGCCGCGCTGGGTTGGCACGTAAGGTGATCTTTTTTATGTGCCATTGACGGGCGAAAGTGGCGGTGTTCATAGAAATAGTTTCATGAACACCATCGGGGTCTTTCGATCCAGGCTCCCCCAACCCAGCAAGGAGGAAAACGCATGACAATCCTTTTCCATTTTTCTCTCGCCCTCTTTCAGTAAATTGGTGTATTTAAAGTGACGTTCGTTGTGCGCATGATGTGTTAAAATATTTGTGGGCGGACGATAAGCCATATCGACTACTTTTTTAATGCCTTCGCGTAGTAAAGTATAGAAACATCTAGGCTACAATCATAGATTCGACTAGCCAGCATGCTTTAGGAGGAAATAATGAAGCACATAATTACCGGAATTGGCGAGAACAAGGCCCGTCTTGGCACATCAGCCGCCTCATAAAATTGTGTCAACAGCTGAGTCGGAAAAGATGTGCGCGATATGGTTTATAGTTTTATATAAGTTTCGATAACAAAAAGAATGAACCTATGATTGGCAAGTTAATTTTTGCCTCCTTAGAAAGTGGTTTTAATAATGTACCTGGTACAAACCAAAAATGTTTAAAGTGTAACCAGAAAATATTCAGAGCACATTTTTTTTGTGTGTGTGTCTTTTGGCTAGACTAGAACGGTAGATGCAATGTGCATGGGTTAAAAGGCTTGCATGCATCAAGACTTTTCAAGGATAGAATGCTTTCTAGCGAAACCTCCCCCTCTACGAAATTTTTCCGCCTGTCCATCTGTCAATTTTACCCGCTAAATTTGGAGGAAAAAAATTGAACAGGCGTGAAATTATGCATCAATTGAGGTTTCGCACGTCACAGGTCGTCGGCCCCGCAGGAACCGTTATTCCACCAAATATATCGGGGAAATTCACGTCACTTATCTGATGTCACGTTCGGTCAGATGACATGACAAGCTTTTGTTGAGCAAGCTGATTCAAGCTTGGTGAATGTAGACAGATGAAAGGCTTAGACAAATCATGAGGGTAAGAGACGTATGAAGACACCGTTACGCACACTTGGTGTCGCATGACCGTCATAATCACGTGACGCCAAGTCTGATCATTATTGCGTCACGTCACGTGACTCCATCCTGTGTCGTCGGGTCACGTGACGCCAATCAGTGAACAACATGTTCATCTTCACTCCACGGAAGTACGTTTTACTTTACGCGTACCTTTACTGGACTTCTGTCGAGGGCCCCCGGGGGTCCACAGACCACAGTTTGAGAACCGCTGGCTTAATTTAATGCATTCTAAAGAGGTAAATGTGATCGCTACATAAATACTGTATTAAACGCATTATGGAACTGTCTAGATAAGAAAAGTTTCTCTGCAATGGAGTTTACTCACAAGAAGGTCCGTCTCGTTACATTTTTCGGTGAACTCGAGGCCAGCGAGTTTCCAGGTGCCTCGCTTGTTGACGATCACGGACTGCGGACTCAGGTTCCGGTGGATGAGTTTGCAGGAATAGTGTAGGAAGGACAGGGCTTCCGTAAGCTGAAAAAGCAAAGAGTGAAAGCCGTTTACGACTCCCTGTAACGCCGAATTAGAGCGCAGCTCTTGAGGAGGAGGAGGGAAGGGTACTGAGGGTCGCGTGTTGTCGGTGAGGGGGAAGGGGGGTCACGTGACCTTGGTGGGGTCACGTGACCTCGGAGAAGGGGGTGTCCACGTGGGGGGACACGTGACCCCCAGAGAAATTTTTCCGCTAGATTTAGCGGGGAAATTTTTCCGCTAGATTTAGCGGGGAAGATCTTCCGCTTAATCTAGCAGGGAAATTTTCCCACTAAATTTAGCGAGAAACTTTTCTGCTAGATTTAGCTGGGAAACTTTTCTGCTAGATTTAGCGGGGAAATTTTTCCGCTAGATTTAGCGGGGACATTTTTCTGCTAAATTTAGCGGGGACATTTTTTCGTTAGATTTAGCGGGGAAATTTTTCCGTTAGATCTAGTGGGGAAATTTTTCCGCAAGATTTAGCGGGGAAATTTTTCCGCTAGATTTAGCGGCCAATTTAACCATAATGCACCGTACGGTTACGCCGACGGCGACGCCGACGCCGCTCAAGCTGGAAACGGGCGCCTAAGAGCTGCGCTCTAAAATAACAACAAAGTAAAATAAACCAGAGATAAAATAAGAGTAGCAGCTACTGTTCTAAAGTGTTCTTTGTGTTTAAAAATGACGTGCTCCGAATTGTAAGTGCAGCGTATGTTTAGGAAAGAGAAAACTCCACCCCCCCCCCCCCCCCCACACACACACACACACTAAAAGGTGAAAAAATGAATCCTGAGCACCTGTATTCCATAATAGAAAATTAATAATAATAATAATAAAAATAAGCTTTATTGGCTCAGAAGAGGCGCTTCACCGCAGAAAGACAACAGTCCCTACCATGGACGCCCGCGGTGCCGCGTATATTGATGGTGATTATGTGATGACATAATATACAACGTGAAAGTGATGGTGATTATAAGATGATATGTACACAGGGAGCACGACATGGTCTCCTTAACATCGCAAGCACCGCTGCCCGAAGTTTCGGAAAAGGTTCAAGCGAGTCGGCCAGCGAGCTGAGGTGATCTCCCTCGAGCTGTAAATAAACGCCTCAGATGGGAAAACCCGGTTCGGTGGTGTCGTCGCCCTCTTCAGTAAATGCAGCGGGCTTCAAGAGGTGGCCTCGTCTTGGTAGACGGCTGCCACCAACCCAGGCATTCCAACCAGAACTTAAACATGTACACTCTAAAAAAAAAAGTCTCTTGCGTCTACTTTTCCGCACAACGCTCGGAGAATCAATCACCGCAATCACGGGGCAGCTCAGCGGTTGACGATGTCGGAACATATGTTTAGACCAAAAATGCAGTGTGAGTTGACATTACGCAATGCAAGCGTGACGTTGTGCATTGCTTAATGTCACAACTTTGGTCAAAAGGATGCCTCCGTAAGTTGCGGTGATTGGCTCTCCGAGTGTTGTGCGCGAAAATGGACGCACGAGCTTTTTTTTAGAGTGTAGCGCCGAGCTCACCCGGTGTAGCATCTTGTTATCATCGTTTCATATGAAGAAAAATCTCCAAGTTAAGTAGTCTTATATGTTGACTTTGGACATTTGAGTTGTACAAAACAATATCCCATGTTTTATACACGTATTACATCTATAGAACACAAAAATTGTCGTCCTCTTGGCGCCACGTTCGTTAACTATATTATATATCGTTCATTAAAAAGGGACAAAAGGTAAGCGAAAGCAAAAAACGTCATTTACGTGCCATCTGAGAGACAATGTGTAATAGGCAATCATTACCACATATCCAATTGACCTGTATGTTTTTTATTGAGAAAACAGGCATATAATAAATTATAGAGTTCGCTCTTAAGGTATTATGAAACATAAGTCGCTTTAGTCGATATGTTTTTGTTTTTTTTCAATTGGAATAGTTGGAATATTTATAGCCGTACCGAAACCTGCACGATCCATCATGCATGTTGCTGTATAGTCCAAAAAAAAAACCTAACCCATAGTAGAGATATAAAAGGCGGAAAACATATGTGAGAAGGGCGATCTTTTTGGGTGGGGACGATTTTTGGAATTGTTTGGGAACAAAACAAAAATCTAAATATTTTCGCAATAGAGTCCTAGCACTAGCTAGCTTTTTTGTTTTGCCTATAAAATATGGCATCTAATATATGGGGTGCGTGAGGATTAATGAGGCCAAGCAATAAAATGATGCACTAAAGTTGCGAATAATTACGGCCCAGTAGTATCTGTTCATATGTATTGTGATTCAAAAACAATGATAAAACCGCGAAGTGTATTCGACTAGACGAAGCGATGTTGGAGCGAGGTGACTTATAAGGTCATTGAATATTAGACAAGATTTCTTAAGACAACTTTGCCTCCTGGTGACAAGCCTTTTTTTTTGTTGCAACATTAATAAAAACAAAAACGAGACACACGTAAAAAGGTGCAAAATCATAACACCGAGAAATGAAACAAATCCTCGCCTAACAAAAAGAACGAGGTTGTTCAGAATCTACATTTTTATCGCCTCCTTATCTTTCTCAAAGCACTTGTCTTCACAGCAGCACAGGGTCGTCACATGTTACGTTAATGGTTCCCACTCCCCTTCCCATTACTTTCCTGTCTTTAAGAATCCGTGTCGTTTACCCAGGCCATTAATTAAGGCCGTACAAGAAAGAGTTGCGCTACATTAGCGCCCACGACAATATTGGTGCACGCGAACCAAGAAACAGGCTTATATTTTTAGAAACGAAATCACTCGACAAAGAAAGGTGTTAAAAGAAACAAAAATGAAGAGAAGAAAATAAAAAGAAGGGTCACGGGTACTTTCAAAGGAAATGCTTCATTTGTACCTCGGTTTATTATTAGTTCCGGAAGAATCGCGGGCCTTATTGGCAACATTGGCTCCGTCTAATTAAGTTTCTACGAGAATGGTCGCTCCCGTTGGCTGACTCAGGCGAGGATGTGAGGGATTTGGAAAATAATACTAAAAAAAAAAGAAAAAAGGGTCTAATCTTTTTTCGCATTAGGGTCTTTCTTTCTTCTTTATCTTTTTTTGTACGCGACATGAACCGTAAGTTGAAGAAGGAAACGGAAGAAGTGGGACGCGAAACTGCAAATGAACACAGGTCTGAGGGTATATCAAGAAGATTGTGAGGATCAAGAGACGGCCTCAGGTTTCTATTTATGGTAGGGCTGAATGCATGCGCGCCAGTTTAAGATGGAATGACCCGTGAGGCGTTCATTTTTTACCAGTTTCTATCTCTCACGGAGCTTATTTTTTAGCACAATAAAAATTGAAGTTTGTAAACGAAAAGGTTTAGAAAAGAATGGCACATGCTTTTAACACGAAAACTTTGAGGAGAAAAGTGTATTTGGACGAATAAAGCTGGAGCACAGGTTTCATTGTGTTCCTTAATTTCGTCCTACGTTCAAATGTCATAAAGGGGTACTTTCAAGAAAGGACAAAGCAATACATTTTGCAATTCCATGAACAGGAAATCACGCAAGAAAAGTGTGCCAACAAAACATAAGAAACAAACAAGTTTTGTGGTCGAAGAATGTGCAGAAGAAAAAAAAGAAGCGCATTGAAAGTCACTGGACTGTAAAAATTCACAACAACCCTTATTTACAGAAATTTATCTACAGAAACAACCTCCAACGCCGAAGCAATATAGCAGGGAAACACAAAATGGAACACATATTCACGAACATAGATAAAATGGCAGAAATACAATAAATACTGTTAAATAAAAGAACGCGCACAAACTTTAGAATGTTAAAAAAATTTAGGATACTGAGAAAAAATATCCTGTGTCATCTGTCGTAAATGCTGTTGCAGGCAATGAATTGAAGTCCGTTATTGTACGAGGGAAAATCAGTTCGACAAAATATTTCTCTGATCATGTTACAATTATCTATTCTGGTTGAAATATAGTTTAGTAATTCAAGATATTTATACTTATCAATTCTAGTTAAGTTACTAAATATAAAAAATAAAAACCTTAGACGAAATTTCTTTCTCTTTGAATCCAATAGTTCCCAACCCATCTCACGTTTAATTTTTGTCACTCTGGATGTTCTATCGTACTTTCCCGATAGAAACCTTGCAGCACAGTTTTGCATTTTTTTGTCTATTTTAATGAAAAAGGTACGCTTGGTGCGGTTCCCACAGAACACACGCTTATTCAAGCATCGGTCTTACCAAGCAGCAGTGACCAGTTTCTTTTAGCTCTTTGGGTGCTCTGCGTAGATTTCTGTTAATAAAATTCAACATTCTACCAGCTTTTTGTACAGATTGTGTTACGCGAGAATAAAAAAAAAGATATATTATAAAACAGCAGTATACTTTTAAAAACGCAGTCTTATAATGTAAAAACATATTTATTTACATTTAGCTGTATATGTCTTTCAGCTTCTAAACCGATAAATTTTTCATTACAAGTTTTCAACATGAAGAACGTGAGCGAAATGTTAGAAACTGTGCTAACTTTTTACCGGTGACGGATGTTTCTTACATTGCTTTGAAAAATAATTTTGTGACGATTACTTAATTGCTCATCATTCAAAGCAGGATAAAGGGGTACTCTGGCGATTTTTTGAGCTACCCCAGCTAACTATATTATCGGAATCACCTGCCTTCACTCTTTCCGGTATGCTGTTTCGTAATTAAAATAAGAACGCCGACTTGACATAACAGAAAAAACAACTTCATTAGACGTTTCGCCTCCCATGCGGGAGGCATCATCAGTAGTTACACAGCAAATGCAGGGTTCAACCTAAACTCAACGCTATTTATCACGAATGTCCGTGTAAGCTTCGTGGAGAGGGCCGCGGTTTTTGTTGCACACGGATGTGTCCCTGCGAAGGGGATACGGCCCATTCGTCACATGTCGATTCGTCATAGGGCAACTGGTAACAGGCCCGTTGGTAACAGCGGAACATTGGTCATGGGGTGATTCGTCACACTGGCAGTTCGTCACACAAT